GCAGAATCAGCAGATGTAAAGCCTTTAAGACAGGAAGGTAAGAAGTGCCATCTCTTTCTTGACGTCTGCAGAGCAGGCAGCTTTCTAAAAGCATAGGAAGATAAGCTGTTTGAAAAGTTGGCAGCCTTTTATTTTATTTTATTAGTCCAGGTATTTCTCATTCAACAAGGATTCAGGAAGAAAAGGGGAGACCGTTCCCTTTCTGCAAATTGTTGTCCCTCGGGGGTTGTCAAATGATTGGACGAAATAAAGTCTAGCTTGGCCTTCAGTAGCAGCTTAAGAACGCACCAGTAAAAAAACATGCAGTGGTTTGACAAGGAGGGACAAGCAGATGAAACTTACAGTTATGATGAAATTATCTGCATGCTAAAGGCACAGCTGCAGAAGCTAGATGAAAAGTTAGGAATTGCCCTGTCCCTCTTCCATTCTTCTTTTTAAAAGAAGAGGTATTTTCCTGCCAACTGTTTTAATTCAAGGGAAATCAAGTGGGTGCTTTGCACTGCCATCCAATAAATGTAGTTTGGGAGCATTTTTTTCCTCTTCTGGATTGCTTGTTGAACTCTTGAGTCATTGAAAGGAATCTTGGGATAATGCTTGCTAAATATTCGTGCTTTTCTTTTTCCTTCCTCCAAATTGTTGCAAACCCTATTCTGGTTACCTTTATCCTTTTCTTTTAAAAGGTACCACAGAACACAGATTCTCAGCTTTTTGTCTTTTAATGCCCCACTGGTCATACTATCAAAAGAACTGAGGCACCCCATAGGAAAAAAAGCCTCTTTTTTCCTGCAAAGGATACTTAATTGCTCCAATCATTTGTGGTTACTTTCAAGGATTTTGAATAATTGGTTGTTCTGGGTTTTTCGGGCTCTTTGGCCGTATTCTGAAGGTTGTTCTTCCTGACGTTTTGCCAGTCTCTGTGGCCGGCATCTTCAGAGGACAGCAACCTGTACTCTGGTGTAGTTGGCTTGGGAGTGCGCTCTTTTGCTTCAGAGTGTTTCCAGTCTCCGGGTCTGTCTGACTGTTTCCTCCCAAGCCAACTACAGGTTGCTGTCCTCTGAAGATGCCGGCCACAGAGATTGGCGAAACGTCAGGAAGAACAACCTTCCGAACACGGCCAAAGAGCCCGAAAAACCCAGAACAACCATTAGATCCCGGCCGTGAAAGCCTTCGCAGATATATTTTGAATAATTGTTTGGACCAAATCTAAAGAAACAAAAACAATTCTATTAACAAGTGAAAATTGTAATGACCCCACTGGAGGATAAGGATGGCTGATGCCCTGTTCACACAGCTGTGCAGCATCAGGCGCCTGACCTCATCAGCCAAGGCAGTTTTTTTGGAAAGAAAAGAAATTCTGAATCCACCCTTGCCTACAGGGCTCTTGAGGCCATTTTGTCATTGGGGGGGGCACAACTTGTGCCATAGAGCCAGTCTGTTTTCCTGCTGTGCAGAGTGTTGACTGGGTGGGAGGGGAAATGGTTGCTTCCCTGCTAAGGCCCCCCCCCCGGGAGCAAAGCTGACCCACTGTCCTGTCCGGGGGGTCTTGGAGGAGCAAGGACCAGCAGTCCTTGGGTACCCTCCAGCTGGGCCCCCTGTCCCAGCATCCACACCCCTAGACTCCCCTCCTGTTGGTGTCGCCAAGTGGACCTACACAAGGCATAGGGATGAGGCCCACTGGGGACGACAGAGGCAGAAAAAAAAACAGAAACAAAAAAAAAGGCTTTCAAAGTCGGGTTGGGCCCCCATGAACGTTTTCTTCAGGAGTCTTCTCAGTTTCCTTCTTTAGGAACTAAAGAAGTTGGATCCTAACTGGGAAAGCACATTAGTAAAATATGTGGCAGCCATTGGTATTATAAACATTGTTGATGGAGAGGACGAGGATGTGAGATACGGTCAACCTTTTCTTCTCGGGTCTCAATGAATGTCCAGTCTTTGCAAATCAGCCTTCAGTTTGGGATCTGGACTGTGGAGATCCGACGTTAGATTTGTATTCCCCAGGTGGCATTTGGCTAATTCCCCCTTTTTTAAAAAAACTGTTCTAATCATAATACTCTGAATTTTGAAACTTTACTTTGATGGATGACGGTTCCAAAATTCCTTGTCCCTGGTGGGCAGCTAAGGATGGGACTTAAGAGTTGCAGTGAGTCAAAAACAACACAGTGGCAAATAACAGCAGCAAACATACTGAGATATTTTGGAAGCTGTGGTTGAAATCAGTCGCTTTTTTAAATTGTTTGATGCCCTAATGACACAAGCTGACTGGGGGAAAGCAGGTGGGCTTCTGAAAAAAGATGCCTCTCTCGGTAGTGACTTGGAAAATTCTTCCCAGGACGTTCTCCGAGCACCAGCTTTATTATCTGTTCAGCACTGGATGAAGGACTTCTAATAAAATTTCTTGAGCTTTTCCATATACAGTGGGGTCTTGACTTAAGAACGTCTCGAGTTAAGAACATTTTGACTTAGGAACCACTCTCATAGGAAAATATTGACTTGACTTACATACTTAAGATTTGAGTTAAGAACTGAAAAAAACCACGTGGGAGGCAGGGAAAGTGCAAAATTTGAACTTTCAGTTAACTGTTGGCCAGTTTGATGCCCTAATGACACAAGCTGACTGGGGAAAAGCAGGTGGGCTTCTGAAAGAAGATGCCTCTCTTGGTAGTGACTTGGAAAATTCTTCCTAGGATGTTCCCCAAAGCACCGACTTTATTATCTGTTCAGCACTGGATGAAGGACTTCTAATAAAATTTCTTGAACTTTTCCATATATATTTATTGATGTATTTGTTTTCTATAATAGAGCATGTTATATATTATATTATTTTATTATTAGCTTTTTATATAAGAACTGCTGGATTAGCTCAGCGGTTGAGGTCCCTGGCCGTGGAGCCAAAGGCTGGGAGTTCGATTCCCCCCACTGGGTCTCCTTGAGAAGGGGCTGGACTTCTGATGGTCCATAGGATCCCTTCCAGCTCTGTGGTTCTAAGACGAAAAGAAAATAAGAAAAAAAATTACGCTGCCTTTTCCAAAGGGATTCAAGGCCACTTACGGAACGTTAAAACAAACAGGGAATTTAAAAAAATACTGAAATCATTGAAAAGCTATGAAACACGGTGATCACTTGCTGGGGGCAAAGTTGTTATTTGCAGTTCTAAGATTGTTGTTAGGATAAAGGATATAAAAGTAGCCACCGTAGGGCATCTGTGTCAGCATTAGATACTGCAAATGTGTCTGAAAATAAAGATTTTTGGTTGTCATTGGCAGAGAAGGATCGGCGTAGCCTCATGGGATGTTTTGTAAGGTGGGGGCAGCCACCAAGAAAGCCCTCTCTCAGGTCCCCCGGTCAGTGTAAGTGATAGGAACAAGAGGAGAGGCCTTCCAGGGAGATCTTGAGACCTGAGGAGGGTTGTAGGGGAAATTGTAATCCGTCAGATAGCCTGGATCCAAGCCATATTGTTAGACAAAACAGGAAATCCCCAGCCAAAGCATCTTCGGCAGATAGCCACCCAGTCTCTGCTTAGAAACCTTCCATGAAGTCAAGTGTGCCCTCTTCCAAGATATTCCTTTCCCACTAGCATTCTTAGCTTAGACTTTTTAATCCTACTGACTTATTTTATATTGCTCTGTGCAATTTGATGGTGAATAAGCAGTGAAGGTACAGAAAGGGCTTTTGCATGAACCAGTGCGGCTCTTTTTATTTATGATGATACTGATTATTATTCTTTATTCATTTGTCTTTTTGGAAATTGCTGTGGGAATGTGACCAATGGATGGTTTGAAAATATTTGTGGTGCTAGTTATTCATTTCTCCATCAACAGGAGGGGCAATAGTCAGCGATCCCGCAGTACATGCTTCCTACACAGAAATCCCTGGCTTCCGTCTTTGGCATCTTCCTTTAAGAGGATCAGGTAATAAACTGTTCAAATGTTTCCCTTTAAGATCCCCAGGAGCTGTCATTCATCTGAGTAAACAAGGAGTTTCTGTATTTATTTTTTTAAGGTCACATTTTTAAAAACTGGGGAATTTGTATTGGGTGTCCCCACAAATTGACTCCCATCAAGGGCCTGCCTAGTCACAAAACGGCAATCACTTGCTGAGGAAACTGAGGATAAGGCGGAGGCTGGGTCGAAGGCCCACAGGTGAAGCAAATGCCAGACCTCCTGCCATGTTTATGCACAAACTAGGTAAACAGCATTTGGGGCCTCCAGATTGTGAGCTGCTGGTGGGGTTGTCGGGCAGTTGACCATGATCACAACCAAGACCTATTATCCCAGCACATCAAGGAGCTGCAAGATATTATGCAAACTTTTCAAGCCTTCCTTTCCCTTTCCTTCCTTTTTTCAAAATGACAAATCAACTGGAGCAGCCAAGGGTGGAGGAAAATCTCTTGAAAGCCCTTCTCAGGAGGTGTATAGTTGTGCTGGTTTGGGTTTCTGGGCTGCGATTCCAGGCCTTCCAAAATCTGGAACAGCACACCGTACTTAACACCAAAAATACCTATTTAAGAGTGAACTTTTTAAAAGGTTTTTTTTTAACAAAAGTGAAGTTCTGGCCCTCACATTTTGGGTGGTTCATGCAGCCCCTGAAGAATTTGGGGTTAGAAAATTGGCTGTTGGCCTCATCACAGCTGCCCATCTCTGCATTATAACCAGCGGCCATTTTTGGCTAGGGTTTATGGGACTTATAATAATAATAATAACACATCTGGAAGACCACAGGCTGCTCATAGCAGAATAGACATTGGTTCATATTTTGTTTCATACCCCTCCAACCTTTCTCTGTTTTTGTGTTTTTCAAAACAAATTCAGGTCAAATGAGTGAAATTGAGGAGGTCAACCAGCTGAAAAGCCCCGGTGATGTGGAACCATGTGGATCTTTACTGGAAACAGACGAAGACATTTCCGGATTCCAGGAAGTGGAAGGAATCTGTGAGATTCAGGAGACACCAGATGATCCACCGACGCTCATCCCGGGCTTAGAAGAAGGCAGTTCATTAGAAGGGACCTCATATATCTGTTCCGACTGTGGGAAGAGTCTCTCCAGCATCTCTAGTCTCATTAGCCACCAGAAAAGGAACCACTCGGGAGAGAAGCCCTATAAATGCTCTGATTGTGGGAGGAGCTTTCACCAGAGCTCAGATCTGGTTAAGCACGAGAGAATTCACACAGGGGAGAAACCATATCAGTGCTCTGTGTGTGAGAAGCGGTTCAATCAGCGGTCATACCTTATCGTACATGAAAGATTCCACACGGCCGAGAAGCCTTACAAATGTTTCCTGTGTGGGAAAAGCTTCTGTTCCAATGCCCATCTCATGACCCACCAAAGGACCCACACCGGAGAGAGGCCGTACCAGTGTCCAGACTGTGGTAAAAGGTTCACAACCAGTTCAAACTTTGTCAACCATAAGAAAACTCACACGGAAGAAAAACCATATAATTGTTCCCTCTGTGAGAAAAGTTTTAAGCGGAGCTCGAACCTGATTCAGCACGAGAGGACTCACACGGGCGAGAAGCCCTATATGTGTCTGACTTGTGGGGAAAGCTTCGCTTCGAACTCTGGCCTTGTCAAACATCAGCGGAGCCACACAGGGGAGAGACCTTACGAATGCTCCTACTGTGGCAAAAGCTTCAGTCAGAGCATGATCCTGACCCAACACGAAAGGACCCACACGGGAGAAAAGCCGTGCAAATGCCCGGCCTGTGGCAAAAGCTTCCGCTCTAGTTCAGACCTTGTCAAACACAAAAGGATCCACACAGGGGAGAAGCCCTATAAGTGTTCACTCTGTGGTAAAAGCTTCACCACCAGTTCGGACGTGGTGAAGCACGAAAGAACCCACACCGGCGAGAAGCCGTACAAGTGTGGCACCTGTGGGAAAAGCTTCAGCCAGAGCGCCCACCTCATGCAACACCAGAGAATCCACACAGGAGAAAAGCCGTACGTGTGCCTCGCCTGCGGGAGGTGCTTTACGTGCAGTGCTCACCTGGTGGTCCATAAAAGAACCCATAAAGAGGGGGAGGCCTTAAAAACGTAAAAAGTCGGGTTGGTGGGGTTGGGAGAGGGAACATCCCATGCAGAAAAAGAAAATAAACCCTCGTAAAGTGTGTTTGATGCAGCAACTAAACCCGATCTTTCTAAGAACATAATTCGGACCCTGTCTAAGAGGGAGTAAAATAACGGAAAAGGTTTGTAACTGATCTCTTGTTTATCATGCATGAAATTTAAAACCCAATGAGGAGAGAAACTGCAATGAGAATGATCCAAGGATGGCTCTGTCGCTGGCCGAGAAAATCCATGATGGGCCTAACAAAGTTGCTAAAGATCTGTGTTCTCGAAGGCTTTCACAGCCGGGATCTGATGGTGGTTGTAGGTTTTTCGGGCTGAAGATGCCGGCCACAGAGACTGGCAAAACGTTAGGAAGAAAAACCTCCAGAACACGGCCAAACAGCCCGAAAAATCCACGACAACCGTTTGTAAAGATCTGGTCATAGTGAAGGAGATGTGAGGCCGAAAGTAACATATGGCACGGAATTTGGGATATTGAATTGAAATTGCAGCTATGGATGCTGAGAGAAATGGTTTTTCATGCAATCCTGTGTGTACTTTTTTGGTAATAAATAAATGACTATTTGTGTCCTTCACACAGGTGTACTTTTATCAGATGGTCAGCCATGAAGAGACCTCGTGGCTCCTATGATCAACCTGAGCTTTCAGCAAATAACCGAAAGCAAACAAATTTCTCAACAATGCACCTGGACACTCTTTTTGAACATGATTTTTTTTTTTGTGGGAAGAAAGATTTCATTTTGTCCCCACCCCACCCCTACCCCAGCTACTAAAGATCATTAGACTATTTCTGACCAGAAGCAGGCTACTTCCGTAGCCGCTAAGATAATGCTATTTGAAGAAGCCCCCTTCTGGTCAAAAATATTCTAATGATCTTACCATTTTAATTAGTTTTCATTATACCTATACTTCACATACGTCCATAATTTTCAACTGTGCAAATGCTCTGATTCAAATAAAGGGATATAGACTTCAGCAACCTTTTTTCAGTTGCTTTGGTGCAATTTTTCTTAAAAATAAGCTACTTACCAACACTATCTGTGTCAAGGTAGTAACAAATCATAGAGCACTTTAATTTCACTAGGAGATATATTTATGTAGCCAATTCAGAATGTGGAGATTTCTCACCCTTTTTAAAACAAAAGAGGTAATGGAGATCCACCTGGTCATATGACTGGAACCAGAATCCCACCTTAAAGCATATTGGAATGGTGGTGTTTTCATCTTATAGCTAAAGGAACCAAGAGATGGAGCCATCCAGATCTATTCAGTGTTTCATAGCTTCCAATCTACCACCGAGAAGGCTCAATCCCGCATACCCACCTGCTGGGCCTTTGATGGTTAGAGGAGCATGTGGATGCGCTTCCTTTGAATAGCAAAGTGTATTGAGGGGAGATTAACAGGAACAGAATCAGATAATCAGAAAATCTATCAAGAAATTACACCAGACATAGGCTGGGTTTATACGCAGACGCTCCAGTAGCATTCCAGCTAAGCAACCAGTATTATTGCCTATTTTTCCTTCAAAAATACTGTATGGTGGGAGACAAGAGTCTGAAGGAAAGTGGTTGATCACGGAGAAGGGTTTCAACCAAAAGCCTAAATATCAGGATTCAATTTCACAAGTAAACTAAAGAAAAGCCAAAGCAAAGTGTGCTGCTTATATGCCACCCCATAGCACTTAACGCATTTTCTGGTTGATTTACAATTGTATTGTGCAGGCTAAATATTGCATTCCCCCAGAGTAAGTTGAGGATTTTCAGAAGGATGAAAGGCTGAATCAACCCTGATCCGGCTACCTGAGTCCTTTGAAATCGAACTTGGGAGACGAGCAGAATGTTAACTGCAGTACTGCAGTTTAACTACCACACCACTAAGAGTGTAAGGTGTGTTGATCTCCCACACCAACATATGAAGAATTGTTCGGTTTCTTAAAAAACAAACAGGTGATTCGCTTAAAAAGCTGAAGCCCAAAGTGGCATAATCATTAAGAGTGTTTTATGGGGACTTCAGAGAGCATCACTGGACGTCTCTGAGCTTCACGTGGTCCTTCAGACCTGACCTACCTCACAGGGTTGTGGGGAGAAAGTGTTTGATGCAGGGAGAGACTCGTGTACATTGTCTCCTGTTCCTTCTAGAAATGGTGGGATATAAATGGTAAGGAATAAATGTTGAATTTCTGCCCGTCTGATCCCTGACTAGACTCTGGGTCTCTCTCAAACAGGAATCTTCAGGCCAGGAAGTTTTCCTTGTCTTTTCAGACCAGATTTAAAAAGACATGTCAGGGATGGCTCAAGAAAAATTATGTGTGCTCCTCATCAATAGGTGAAATAGGAGGGTC